CAATATTCAAGTTCTGACTACCCTGCCTGCCTTTCAAAGTCCTTGCCTTCTTTTCCACTGCTGCCCAACATGCACCTTGCTGTGCCAATGAAAAAATTCTGATTCTAAAGCCTATACTCGGGATCCCTGGGTGGCGCAGCGGTTTGGCACCTGCCTTTGGCCCAGGGCGCGATCCTGGAGACCCGGGATCGAATCCCACGTCGGGCTCCCGGTGCATGGAGCCTGCTTCTCCCTCTGCCTGTGTCTCTGCCTCTCTCTCTCATTCTGTGTGACTATCATAAATAAATAAAAAAAAAAAAAATAAAGCCTATACTCTTCTCACCAAAATTTTTGGTCTTCTGCATTGTTTAGCTTCCTGCAGCATACTGGCTTTGAGGGCATATTTTTCTTCTCTGAGTCTTTGTGGACTGAGGAAATGCAAACTACTTTTGCTATTAGACCAAGCTAAATATTCACAACAAGGTAAATCTGTTACAAAAGGAGTTGTTTATACACCTAACTTTGCTAGGACTCAAGTACTCACAGGGCATCTAACACAGACCTTGGCAAGAGTAGACCCTCAAAAATTTGTCAAATTCTCTAAACCAAATGGAATATTTATATCAGCCCTAATATTTCCCCCTCCATTAAACTAAGGGGTTACTCATTGCAGCTTCAAGAGGTCCCTATCAATATAGAAATGCTAGGGCATATGGAAATCAACCTCCTAAATTCAGGGGACCATCTCAAGCCACTGTTGCGCTAACACTGAAAAAGATACTACCAGTGACAATCCCTGCTAAGCGGGGTGAGCGTCCTGTAACAGAAGTTCTGATGAAGAAGTTAAAAATTAGGCACCTAATAAGCATCAAGTAATCCTTTGATTTTTACAAATATAAAGAAAAATTAGGACAAAACTCACTATTTTTAGAAACTTCCTATGACAGCAGCAAACTTAGGCAATATGAATGTGTACAGAACAGATAAGTGAAGTTAGACTTGCTGTGTCTCCAACTTTGCTGGATTCAAGGAGCAAGGATCTGAAATCCTATCTTCTTACCAAAGTAAGTCAGGCTACAACAGCCTATATTAAATGGGACATGCTTTCACAACTGTCTTTTACACATACACAGTATTTCTTTTTGTTTTTCTTAAAACTTCATTTTTCAAAACTGGCAAAGTTGGGTGGGAGAGCCAATGCTTTAGGCTTAAATTTCAGTTTTGCCTTTCTTTACAGTCCATGTCCTGGGGCCAAGCTGATTTTGTTTTTTTGTTTTTGGTGGTTTTTTTTTTTTTTTTTTTTTTTTGGTTTTGGTTTTTGGTATTCAGAAACCTATGCTACTGTAGTTGCAAGTTCAAAGACCCATGTGGAAACAGTCCCCTGGACTTATACATTTGTTCTTAAAAGCCTGGAGTATGCAAACCAAAATGCAGTGGGCAGAGGGCCAGTTAATAAATCTCATTTCCTACTAGCATCTGCATGAAACAGAGCTATAGGGAGTAGCCTCTCCAGGGAGAGCCAGAGCACGACTCTCATGCTCTGTGAATTAAACAGTGTCACCTCAAATGGCCCACACCACATTTATTTTTTAAGCAGCTCTTAAAATATATGGATTTCTAGTGCTCATAAATGCAATGAGGAAGCTAAGTCCAAGAAGGCGATCTCACAGTAGTGTACATGAACGTTAGAAAAATCCGCACAGCTCTGCTCAGCCATTTACGCACTGGCTCCTTTCGACTGAAATTACTACTGGAGGGATAATTTCCTAAGGGAAGTTGCTCTTTTTTTTTTTTAATTTTTTTTAAAATTTATTTATGATAGAGAGAGAGAGAGAGAGAGAGAGAGAGAGGCAGAAACACAGGCAGAGGGAGAAGCAGGCTCCATGCACCGGAAGCCCAATGTGGGATTCGATCCCCGGTCTCCAGGATCGCGCCCTGGGCCAAAGGCAGGCGCCAAACCGCTGTTCCACCCAGGGATCCCCGGGAAGTTGCTCTTCTAATCAAAGTACACATGTGTTTCAGTAACGGTGTGCCTGCCACCCTCTCCAGTCCAGGCTGTAAAAATGGCCTCAGTTTTCACAGAGATACCTGGAGTAAGATATCTGGGTCATGAACCATATTTGACCCTTATCTATAAACAACCAAGTGCAAATGTCATGACAATAAGGTCTTTGGCTGGGAAGAGCAGCTACTGGATGGTACTGGATGGAACAGTGCTGTTCTCTAGGTGTCCTCTCCTCTTCTCACCTGTACTACCTCTTGTCCTGGAGCTCCTGGAAGCGTCCCCTCTTTTAGTAGTAACAGCATTCTTCTTTTCTTTATGTAGATTTTTTAGGAATGTCTTTGTTTTAAATGTTTGAAGTTAACCTCAGTGATTTTGTAAGAATGCAAGAAGATAATCTTACGCTTAACGAGCAACTGTAGAAAATAGGGCCAAAGATAAAGGACCTGCTGGCCCCTACAACTCAGCAAAGGAATCAGGAAGAGAATTTCCTCTGATCATCCTAGGGCTCTGGGCTGACCCAGGCCCTCCAGGGGACTCAAACAGAACTCTTTAAGCACATGTCATTTTTGAGGGTATAATGAACTCACCCCCAAAGTAAAAATTTGGTTAAATCTATTTAGGCTTGCACAGTACCTTCCAAATTTCCTCTGCAATTAAATGGCAATATTATTCCGGCCTCGGGATGCCAAAATAATTATGGAACGCTTCCTGGATAGAAAAATGTCTCACATTTTTCCTTCCCCTGTGCCCCTCCAAAAAAATAGGTCTTAGTTATACTATACTGGCCATCCCACTCTGAAAGAAAAGCAGACCAAAGAAAACATAGGGTATGTCTGTCTCAGCGTACATCCTTTGTATGACACAATACGAATACAACTTTGGAGGATTCCTTCTTCATTTAACCTATGACACGTCTCACTATGGTGTCCAGTAATCCTATTATATAAAACACAAATGCAATAATGCTCTTACTGACTTAAGAATTTGTCCAGTCAGATATTTTCTTTAAACTCAGTTTTGTTTTTCATTTAATTTCAGGTTCCGTTAAAGGGACTCAGAAAACAAACTGGAAGTAATTTAGGAAATGAAAATAACTTAGATTGAATTGAAAAGGTAACTACGATTTTACTTTGAAGCAATATTTTATCGCCAAAAGGTAGCATTTAACCTTTCCACCAAGTCATTTTCCACTGCCATTTCAAGTTTGTTCATATGACTAATAAAACCCAACTAGGCAACTTCCTTTGGCCTATGTGGTAAAATTCGAACTCCATCTTAAAAGCAACTGCTGTTTACATGGTAGAGACTATATCACTGAAGAAATGAGGGCTTCAAATGTATTACCTATACGAACAGTTGAAACAAGTGAGGTTTAAAAGCAACACGAGGTTTTGGTTTTTGTTTTTAAATTCTATTTTAGGCTTTGGAATGTTCGCAGAGAAAGGTGGATGAGTAAGAGAGAGAGGGGACCCAATGTTCCAATCACAAGGATCTCCAAAAGGAGAGTCCCAGACGCTGTGGACCAATTTTGGTTTATATTAAGAGAATAACAAGCACCCGGACTCTGTAAGGATGCCATGTCAACATATTAGCTAGAACCATAAGGCATGAGACCTCATGGGCACAGCCAAAATTAACTCCAAGTATTTATATAACTGCCAGAGATGACAGGGCAAAGGTTGCTTATGAATTTTTCTTTTTGAATCAGCAAAGAGGGTTTCTTTGGTCAAAGAGAGAGAGAGGAAGTGGGGTACTTTGGGTCCTTATTTTGTAAATATGTCATATTTACACACACTGGATTTTCTACCCATAATACCATGTGAACGTTTAGATGAAGGCATTAAAAAAAAAAAAGAAAAGAGTTATTTCCTGTTGCTCACTAGCTGAGAGGATGCGCTTTAGAGGTATGTGTGCTCTGCCTCGAAGCAAAAGCATTGTTAGTGGTTATCAAGGTAACATTTAAAAATAACTACCCCGCACAAAAGAACTTCAGAGGAAATATGAGGGAAGCGATCGGTCTCCCTTCAAGTCTGGCCTTGGGCTGCATCAGACCCTAGCTGCATTCTCCATTACATTGTTATCCTTATCAAACAATGCAAACAATTTTAATGAGCTTATCTACTAGAACATATTGCCAGATATGCTAATGTAAAAATGATGCCAACCATACTGACCGACTCATTAATCAAAAAGCTCACAACACAATGACCAGGATCGGTCCCATCCTCAAATCAGACGTCGGCAAAATAGCAGGAATCACCTTCCTACCGTTTAAAGAAGGGCGGGCTCCCCCACCCATGCGGAGGCTGTAAAACTCCTAAGGATATGCTTCCCGGCACCCGGTTTCCCCCAGGTCCACTGCAGTCCAGTTTCTTTCTAATAAACCACCGGTTCGATGGGAGAAAATTTTGGCGAATGTCTGACACCGTGACCTCTGCTGTCAATCCCTGCACCAATCAGCGAGCAGAATTCTTACAAAGCTCCATCAATCTGGCGGTTTAACATCACAGACTGCAGCTTCGCAGCTTCATCTAGAGGATTCCATCTTTTCCATCTTTCCTGCACACACACACACACACACACACACACACACACACACACACCAGGGCGAGCGCAAACATTTTTCTCGCCATCCTCCCGTAGTCCCTGCCTTGAGGCACAGCCTGCCCACCGGTTCCTTTAAAATGTGAAGGAAAGGACGAAAGGAAGTGCTGCAGCCCGTCTCCCTCTGGGGGGGTGGGGGGGACGGCTTGCATTTTTATCCGTGTGCAGGGAGGGCGATGGAGGGAGACCCCTCGCAGGCGGCAGATCTATTCACAAAACGCTCTCCGTCTGCATTCGTGAAGCCTCCACGCTCACCCAGCATGACACATGCAAAGCGACAGCAGAGGACCCCAAGCGCGCCGGCGAACGCACGTCGGCAGCCCGCTGCGGGCGCGGGGTCCGCTCCATTATATAACGGGCCGGATTTCCGCGCGCCCCCGCCCGGCGCCGCGCCCGGTGCCAGCCCCATTACCTGTAGGAACGCTCCCCGCGCACTGTGTGCTTCCGGAAAGGGATGATGGTCCCGTTATCCTGGATGATGTCGTTGTTGTTCTCGCCATTTGGGGACAGCGTTTGGGTCGGACCAGGCATTGGCGCACTCCCGAGGAAGGGAACAAACCGCGGTGGGCTGGCTGGGGAGGAAGGTGGCTGCGTCTCGTCTTCCCGCTCGCCTGCTCCTCGCGCAGACCGTGCCTGCCTGCCTGCCGCCCGCTCGCTGCCTCCCTTCTCCGCGCTCGCCTCCCGCCCCGCCCTCCTGCGTCCCGCCCTCCCGGCTGCTGACGTCAGAGCGCCGGCAGCAGCTCCGGGTCACGTGGCCCGGCCCGTCTCCATAGCAACCCGCTAACTCATCACCTCGCCTCAATTCGCACAGGGCCGAGGCGTGACGGTGCCAGCGGCTGCAGGCAGGCACCCGGGCAGGCCTACATCTGGCATGAAAAACCCCAGGCCACCCCCAGCCCCCCTCACACACTCGCCTCGTCTGAAAACCAGCTCTTCCTCTAACCATTTCCTTTCCGACCCGTGGCTCCAACTGCAGCTGTGTACACAAAAGACCGATTCAGGCAGAGGGGTGTGGGAGACCCTTTAACTCCTTCAATTCCAAGTGCTTAGAGCATCCGAATTAAACTCGGTCTGGTTGCAAAAAAAAAAAATTATATATATATATATATATATATATATATATATATTATGAAAGATCTGATTGGCCTGATCCAGAAAATGTACCAGACTAAGGCGGTTCAGATTTCCAGCTTCCTCCCCACCCCACCCCCATTCTCTTTAACAGCAGCAGCCTCCTCCCCAAAGAAGCCCCAAACCTGAAAACCTAAGAAGAAGCTGTGTTTCCTTCTAATCGATGTAGCCTTTACTTTAATAAGGTGAAGATTAAAGATTGCAAATGAAGAGATTTTCTGCACAAAAGAATCCTCAAAGAGGGTTTAAAAAAACAGCCACCGTTTTAGATCATGATGGTTACCCGAGACTCCCCAATTGAAATTCTTCAACTGCCTCTTGATACAGATAATTAACTCCTTGTCATTTATTTTATTCTCATTTGAGTTAAACAAGTCAGCACTCAATTTAGTATTTGGAAGCTCTCAACATTCTAGCTGGTCTATATCATTGCAGTGCAGTTTTCAAACACATTGGCAGTGAGACAAGTACTATTAGTATCATCCCTATTTTAAAATGAGTAAACTAGTGAGATTAAGTAACTTGCTCAAGGTCACAGAATTAGGAAGTGGTGAACTGGAACATCGAAATGACATGCTTTTCTCAATGTGATTGGATGGTACTGATCTATATTTAATGGGGGCTCATAAATATAGATCAAGGTAAGAATCAAGTACTTTATGTACACTCTCAACATGACCACTGTGAAAAAAACTGTGAACAGAATTGCTAGTACTAGGCAAAGTCGATGGATTAGATTATAAACTCTCAACAAACCCCAGATGCATCCACTGCTTTCCTCCAGAGAAGAGGGACTTAAAAGGATACTCTGCTTATCAAAAGCAGTCTCTGACCTTTTGTGAGATAAGGGAAGAAATGGGGGGTAATAAAGGATAGCATTACTATATGCAGCAGAAAGTACAAGGCTATGTGATTCACCCATTCACTTCACTGCATGGTTTATCAGCTTTATCATTTTGTGCAAAGAAGTTAAAAAAAAACAAAAAACAAACAAACAAACAAAAAAACCTTGTCATTCCTGACAATTCTCCAGCCTATCTCCCTGGTAATGAGTTATTTCTGGCATCGAGCTTCTAGAATTAGAATCAAATAGTTCACAACCCAGATGGTAATGATAATCTCAAGCAAGGGGAGATTTTTCCTATTTCATATTCTTCTTTTGGGCTATGTTTTAAAATTTTATTTTTCTATCTTTCCAGTGAACTCACAGTGGACAAGTTGATATTTGTTTTAACCCATATCTCAGCTTACATGAGATTTTTCCCCCCTCATGCAGTCAGGATCCACTTCTGACCTAAGACTGGCAAAATACACAGATAAATATATCTAAGTAAAAGATACACTGCAGATTGAAGAGGCTTGAGAGAGTAGACATCACTAGGAAGATCTAGAGTTCCTCTTACTATTTCTGTTATCTGCCCCGTGGTTGTCGTTTTCCTTACTAATTTGTTCCCTTTCACAAAAGCTTCCCCTTTCTTTGGTGATAGTCTGAAGGTGAAAAGCGTAGTCTACAAATCAAGTATTTAGTGTTTTTAGAGTACATCCTCTCGTTTTGGATTCTTTAGTACAGCTTACTTCTTCATGATCCCATATTTAAGTAATACAGTGTTATCATGAGGACTACATTTGTCAGAATTTGATTGTATAGTTCATCGGCTATATCAACTTATTTTGTGGAGATAATACTCCACGGTTCTAGGCTGCTCATGAAGGAGAGGACTATGGCCAAGAATTTGGCTTGAGGGGAGGAGTTAGTGAGTCAGGTGAAAGAGGTACCTAAAAGTCCTTGTAAATCTCCCTTTAAGACTGCTGTGAGCCATGTTACCTCTCAAGGGCCCCAGAGAGCTCCAGAGACCTGTGATTACCCTCTAAGACATTGGGTAACCGAGGTAATAATTTGAAAATACTAAGCAGATGTGTTTTCATTCCTTTCCCCATAAATCAAGTAGGCTGGCAGCCATTCTCCTGTTTAGCCCTAGGGAAAAGGAGAGGGCAGATTCCACTTTGGGAAGGAGGATGCAGGATACGGGAATGTGCAAAAAAGGCAGGAAGAGGGAGGAAGGAGTCTACCCCTTCCAAATCCGATTGAGTGTAGAAAGGAAGAGATGAAAGGAAGCAAAAGCAGGTCCCCAAAGGGAGATGATAGAAAGGCTTGGCTTTGTTCTTAGCCTTAGAGACTAACTTTGACCTCCTTTCCCACTTGAAACTCCAAGAAAAATCACCTCAAGCAGTACCCACCCCCCCCCACCCTGCCCCATACCTCCCTCTTCAAGCAAGATAGGTCCCAGTACAATAAAGACTAAAAGCAGTGGCTTGGTATGGCTAGGTAGAAGGGTTAGGGACAGGGAAGGTTATCTAAAAGATTGCACAGGGCCACCTGAGTGGCTCAGTGGTGGAGTATCTGCCTTCTGCTCAGGGCTTGATGCCAGGGTCCTGGGATCGAGTCCCGCATGGGGCTCCCCGTAGGGAGCCTGCTTCTCCCTCTGCCTGTGTCTCTGCCTCTGTCTTTCGTGAATAAATGAAATCTTTAAAAATAAATAAATAAATGATTGAACAGTCACCCAAGAGTTGGAGCTATTCAAAGACAGTCGAAATTGCAAGAGGCTCTAACTCTATCTATAAATTGGCAAGTTTAAAATTATTTGTGTCCCCACCTCTCAGTAGGGTGAGGACAGTCACACAGATTATAGAAAAAATAACCATGCTAAATAAAACATCTATGAATATTTGATTGTGGAATAAGATTTTTGTCTTATGTACATAGGCAATTCTAAAATAAAAATATATGCAGACCATACATCTCCAACTATCCCATGGAGAAATGGCTCCTCTCATCAAACATCATGATTAAAATTGGGGTTCTGGAGTCAGGCAGACCAGGGTCACCTGCTTAGTTTCACTACATGCTGGCTGTGTGACCTGAGCAAGTTACTTTACATCTTTAAGATTTGGTTTCTTCACTTTCCTCACCTAGAAAGTAGGTGTAATAATACTGGTTTCATAGGTTGCTATGGAGATTACATTACAGAATATATTTAAGGCAGTTAACACGGTATTTGGCATATGATAAACGCTCTTTAGTGTTAAATGTTATTTTAAAACAACATGTAAGGTGTCTCTTGTGTATTAGAAGCTGGTACAACAAGAAGTCCCAGGCTCTGTCCTCAAGGAACTCATGGGGTCGTGAGCAAGATAAAAATGCCAGCAATTATGATACATCATAATGCTGTAATAATGGTACCATACAGGGTGATATAGGCCCACGGAAGATGAGCGCCTACTTCAGAAAGGAAATTAGGAAGTAAGACTGCAATGTTCCCCCAAGAAACTATCACCTAATCCTGATAAGTAATAATTATAACCTTTTTTTGTCACTTCCTATGTGCAAGATAGAATATAAAACCCTTTAGGTAGCTCCGACTGTTTTGTTCAAGGCTCCCTCTGCAACTCCTAGAATGGAGCCTGGCAGCCAGTGGGCATGAAACGAGTACAAAACTCTTAGTTATTCAACAAATTCTTAATTTGATTCTCACAAAAACCCTACTGACAAAATTGAGGCCAAAAGAATAGCAATTTTCCCAGTATTGGATATCAGGTTTTCTTGGCCCCAAAGTTCATATGCTCATCCATTAGGCTGTGTTGCATTTAAAGTGGAAACAGTAGTATAGTGGGAAGATAAAGGATTTCTCAAGCAGATATACTTGGGTAGGTAGGAAAGGATGTGAGGTCTCTGGGAAACAGAAATTTGTTTAGTATAGACCAAGAGCACATAATGGCAGGAGATAAGGCAAAGACCAGGCACAGAACAGTGCTGTGGCCCAGCTAAGAAGCTTGACCTTAGGGGAATCTCTGGGTGGCTCAGCGGTTTGGCGTCTGCCTTCGGCCCAGGGCATGATCCTGGAGTCCTGGGATTGAGTCCCGCATCGAACTCCCTGCATGGAGCCTGCTTCTCCTTCTGCCTGTGTCTCTGCCTCTCTCTCTCTCTCTCTCTGTGTCTCTCATGAATAAATAAAATTTAAAAAAAAGAAGAAGAAGCTTGACCTTAATTCTGAAGGTGTTTTAGAACTATGAAGTGCATTATGGAGAGAAATTAATGGTGAAATTTGCATATCACAAAGGTCTGGTGTTGGTAGTAGTGGGGAGAATATATCAGAGAAGACTAAAATGAATCAGTGATGAAGGCCTAAACGAAAACACTGGACAAGGAGCTGTAGAAGAAAGCACAGATCTGAGCTCTGCAGAGGGCTTAAAAGTTAGGATTTTTTGACTAATTGAATGTGGGCATCATCATTGATAGAGGTTATGGGTGGGTAGTGAAGGAGAAAGACCTTTCATATGAATCCCAAGATTATGGGTTGAGTGACCAAGTGGATAATGGTATCATCTATCATGCTAGGAAATACAGATTGAATTGCCCTTCTGGAAGAAAAGTTCTCAATGTGTTTGGGCATAGAAAAATACTTCTAGTAATTCTAAGACATCTCAGTGGTGAGAATGAGTGGTTATTGGGCTTTACATATA